TGGAAATTTTGATCTGATGAAACAGCCTTCGAGCCAATAATTTTGTATCTCATGAAAGAACAAAAAATTTACAAAAAAAGTACAAGATAACATTATTAACATTAACTTGCTTCAAAACTTCTGTCTTTTCCTTAATACATATATTTAATTGTAAAACTCTGTGCATTTGGTATGTGCATACGTATTTAGGTGCATATAATAATCAACTATTTTGCTTGTGGAAAGTTCAACTATCTGGAGATGTAACTATTTCACAAATGAAACCGGTGCACTGAAAGAAATAAGTTTAGAATCAGCGTTCGGACTACTGAAACTCGATTCGGGAGTAAATGACTCGAAAAATCGCAGTAAAACCGAAATCATAAGCAAACGTCAGTAAAAATTATTTGGGTTAAATTTTGCTGCTTCTGACAAAGAGATTACCGTTTTTACTCTCCTATTTTTCTCCTACTTTGCCAGTAGTTTTTCCATAAACTAAAATATAATGTTTAAAAAAAAAAACGTAAATTATCGGATGGCGTATAAATTTTTGACCTTTTGTTAATAAGAGTTCTTGCGAACATTAAGCTTTTAATTTCGACATTAAGTCTGTTCCAGTATTTATTTTTAATGAGATTCATCTCCGAAAATTTTCTTTCGGCAGCAGCACTACTGTGCGGTAAAATAGCTAATGTCAGCTTATACTCTGCCAAATTTCTAAACATACACCTTTCCAAAACATTTTTCTGGTAAATCCCTTGGTTTGGAAAATAAAAAAAGTGATTCCGCAAAAAAGAGGTTAAAGAGCAAAAGAGATAACTTCTGTTACACCTTTCTATACAAAACCTTGGTGCCACAGAAGTTATTGAAGAAAAATTTTAAAAGTTAATTATTTTGTAATATATTCCTAATGTGAATGGAAAAAAGTAAAAAAAAATCCGAGCATATTTTAAGTCACTTGGAGTAGGGAGTAGATTTGTAATTTTAAAAAAGAAATCGGCGTACATCTACTCCGATCAGAGCAAAGTCCGGACGATGTTTACTACATCTAAGAAAGCGCACTATATTTAAAAAAATGCGCATATAGAAGAGCACCAACCCAACTCGTAATAATTTAAGTATACAAATTTTAGTATTTAGTTTAGAAATATTCAATTCAATTCATTCAAATGAAGCGCTTTGCACCTACCGATTGCTTTTACATAATTAAGTTAAAAAAATATTTAAATTCAATGTTGCCCGTAATGGGATTTGAACCCTGACCCTCTTGAAATTGGCAAATTGAGGCAATGCATCTTTGCGCACACAGCTACAGCCAGACATGTAAATGTGCATTCGAATGTTGTGTTTGAATCAACACCATGCGTGCGTGGTATGAAAGTATTATTTTTAAATACGAACATTTTAAAACGATAATCAAATAGAAAATACTCATTTTTACTATACGTCATTTCCCTCAGTGAATTCATAAAATTTTTCTGAATATTACAACGCGTTTCTTCTCTTAGTGTAGTAATTTTTGAGCTTTTATTCAAATTTGCGCAATCAAATCGAAAACCGGGACATTTAAGGTTAAACCGGGACAAATAGTCTAAAACCGGGACATGTCCTGGAAAACCGGGACGTCTGGCCGCCCTAGTGGTCGAAGGTTTGACAAGCCGTTTGAGGGATATGTGAACAAAATTCAAAATTTTTTTGATTTTCTGGACACCATGGTGACGTTTGTTCAAACCGCTTATGTTTTGTATAGTAAAATTGCCTCATTCGCGACGGAATTTTCACCGAATGAGGACGCAAGAGGGAAAAATCTAAGAAAACCAAACTCTTTTACATTGTGAACCGGAAGAAAAATAAAATTCTTTGCTTGAACTCAACATTTGAAAGCACATTTAGATGTATGGCTGTAGCTGAGTGTGACAAGACGCTTGATACAATTGGTTGCTGCCAAGAGGGTCCGGGTTCAATTACTATCAGACGGAAAATAAAATAAATTGTTTTTTCCTCTTAATTACGAAAAAGCATCTGTGCACTTCACAACGACATATTTTATAACGTGCATACTCAAATTTAAAACGAGTTGGGTTGGTGCTCTTTCATATGTGTATTTTTTTTTTAATTTAGCACGTTTTTTTTAATCCTAAAATTATTTTCCCTCTGTGTATGTCCTCTCCCTATGTTTAAAAAATCATCACATTCCAATTTGTATTTTCCGAGAAAAATAAATTCCGTGCCATTGTAAAAAAATTCAAATGATCATAAAAAGTCTAAATTTTAAAATTTTTCAATGAAATTTATGCAGTATATTTCAGGTGATTAGAACTTCATATGAAGAAACAAGTAATTTTTAGCAAAAAAAAAACGACTTAAACTCTCTGTTTTATGAAGAGCCTCTAAGTGCCACCCTAATATGCCGACGTACATATGTACATAGTTAAGCTTTTATCTATTCAACATTTGTTCTCTCAAACTAAAAAGCAATTTGAAATACTGTTAGTTATCTAAGCTCCTGTTTTGTATTCAAGCCAGCATATGCATACATACTTTGAACAAACAATATTTAAGTAATATAAATTACATGCACAATAAAGTTTTTTGAGCGCTCTAATTTTGGATTCTGTTGAATAAAGACATTTGTACAGTCAAGACAAAATAGTCTCCTGACTTTAAACAGTGGTGACCCCGACGTGATCACATTTGCTGACACGTTAGACAAAAACAAGCATTGTGTAACGCGATTTGCGCGTTAATCGAGATTCGCAGGCAGCATCACAGTCTGCCAAATCGTATGATTTCACAGTTCACTTAAACACGGGTTTTCTTTTGCAAGATCTTTTTTCGCCATCCATTATTCAAAATGCCTACCGATCAAGACGTAACATTGGGTGATACTCCGCGACCGCAGAATTCTTTTTTAAAAAGAAAGTGTGACGCTATATTTCGACAAATCGTGACTATTCAGCGTCAAAGTACAAATGAAGCGCTTCAGGCCATGGACCATGCAGAACTTTCGACGCGCATCGAGCTTCTGGATCACATACTGGGCAATTTCGAGGCCGCCCAGACTGGCTTGGAAGAAGAAAATCCTGATGAACTGGATAGTAGCAGCCGTACTGATTTCCTCGCCATCTATGTCTCCATAAAGGCAGCAATCACTCGTGAACTAAAATCACAACGCATAGAGCCACATGCTCATTCGTCCACAGCAGTATTTTCTCCGCATGATTCCCAGTCAGTGGTTGTATTAAAGCAAAATAAATCGCGTTTGCCCGATCTTCAGCTGCCAACATTCGCAGGTGCCTTCACGGAGTGGCCAAATTTCATTTCAATGTTTCAAACTGTGGTCGATAATGAGCCAGAGCTTACGAAGATAGAAAAATTCCATCACCTGCGGTCCTGTTTAAAGGGCAGCGCTTTAGATGTCATTCGTTCCCTGGAAATACGCGAAAGCAATTACGACAAGGCTATGAATTTACTTAAAAGTCGCTTTGATAATAAATGCCTTATTTTTCAGGCTCACATTCGCGAATTATTTGAACTTAAAAGTGCAGAAGCCAACACTGTGGGTTGTCTTCGCGTACTTGTTGACAAATTCACGTCTCACATTCGAGCACTTCAGACCCTAGGGAGCAAGATACAAATAGCCGACTGTCTACTCATCCTTATCATGTCTCAAAAGCTGGATCCATCTACGCAAACAAAGTGGGAAGAATCAGCCGCATGCAGCAACATACCTACGTGGGAGAGTATGGAAACTTTTCTTGAGAAAAGGTGTCAAACATTGGAGAGCATTAATTTCGCTACGGTACAGAACACACCTAGCGCTAAGGTGAGCAAAACACAGTATCAGAAAAAATCCCTTGTAGTTTCAAAATCCACGCACAAAGTATGTACATTTTGCAAAAAGGAAGACCATTCTATTTAGACGTGTCCGTCATTTATTAAACTCACTGCGGCGATACGTAGGAAAGAGGCCAAAAAGGCAAACCTTTGTTTGAATTGCTTAAAACAC